AGAGAGAGAGAGAGAGAGAGAGAGAGAGAGAGAGAGAGAGAGAGAGAAACAAAAAAAACAAAAACAAAGCGGCTCCCAATCAGGAGCCGGCTCCCGTCGTTCACGTCAAAAAGAGCCGGCTCTCGGAGCCGTTTCGTTTGCGACCGACACATCACTAGTACATAGTTACAGCCTTAAAAATGAAGAACAGCTGTGGCGCCACAATGTGGTTATAAGGTGGTATTTCAGCTGCAGGACAGCAGTGAAGGCCCAGGTATAAAATGCACGGCCCGCCACTGGTTCAAACCCACTACAAAATGTGACAGTTTCACTCTAATGCAAGTTAAAAAGAAAAAAGACATAAAGGGATTAACACATAAGTAAACAGGTAACTTTCACAGAACATTCCCTAAATATTCCCATGTGGTTATATATTCGAGTAAAGCCAAACTGAATATTTTGCTTTGAAGATGCCAGAAATCACCTCTACATAAAATACATAAAAATACATTTTCTAGAGTTTGTTCTCCCAAACCACTGTTGTAAATCACGAGGGGATTATATCTAACGTGAACTGCCATAGTTATCTTTCTCTGGAAAGTTTGTGCCTGTCTATTACATTAGATGTTGCACAAATCCAATCAGTATGTTATAATGCACAATAGTGCACAAGAGTATGTACAGTTGTGTGAAAAAGTGTTTGCCCCCTTCCTGATTTCTTATTTTTTTGCATGTTTGTCACACTTAAATGTTTCAGATCATCAAACAAATTTAAATATTAGACAAAGATAACACAAGTAAATACAAAATGCAGTTTTTAAATGAAGGTTTTTATTATTAAGGGGGAAAAAAAATCCAAACTTCTAAAACTTCTAAACTTGAGGCGATGGCTTTCCCGGTACAATTCCCTACAGGTCAAAACACACTGGATGAGATGAGAAGTATTAAAGTAACACCCAGCAAGTATTTCAAAGCAAGGCTTTTCTGTACTGATGATCGTTTTGCCAGAGACACAAATTATTTGTTCTTTGCACAGTTTGTGACTGAAATACATTTGGCTACCTCCAGCATGACAATACAGTTGAGGAAAGGGAAGCCTTTCACCAGAGATGGACGAAGAATAACTTCTGGTATGCTGCAAAATAAACGAGAGGTCGAGAGACTGGTGAGGAATAAAGATGCAGTCAGATTCATGCAGCTGCTGAGAGGAACACCAGCTTATTGGGAGAAAACTACAAGAGATCTTTTTGCCATGATCAGACAGTTGGGAACCCCCACATTCTTTTGTACGTTTTCTGCAGCTGAGATGCGTTGGCCTGAAGTGATTGAGGCAATAAAAAGACAGCAAGGTGAAGAAGTAAATGTTGAAGGGCTCGACTGGTCAGCAAAGTGTGACATACTGAGAAGCAATCCAGTGACAACAATGCGCATGTTTGATAAGCGTGTTGAGGCGTTATTTAGAGATTTGCTCTTATCTCCTGCACAGCCCCTCGGCAAAGTTGTTGACTATTTTTACCGAGTTGAGTTTCAGCACAGAGGAAGCCCACACATACACTGTCTCATATGGGTAGAAGGTGCACCTGTGTTTGAGAAGGATGATGATCAGATTGTGTCGGATTTTGTGTCCAAATACATCACAGCTCAGCTGCCTGACCCACATTCACAACCTGAACTGTACAAGAAGGTCACAGAAGTGCAAATACACAGCAAAAAACACTCAAGGACATGTTTCAGAAGTCCCAGCTCGGGTTGCAGATTTGGATTTCCCAAACCACCTACCAGACACACAATCATAACGAGACCTGGTGAGAACGTTGATCCACTGCAAGTGGAAATGGCAAAGTCAAAGCTCCAACCACTGAACTTGTTGCTGAATGAACCTGAAACTGCCTCACTCAGTTTGCAGCAGCTCCTAGCTCGATGTGACTTAACACTCCATGAGTATGAACGATGCCTCAATATGATCAACAAATCCAGTACGGTGATACTGAAACGTCAGCCAAAATACTGCTGGGTAAATGGATATAATCCACATCTACTTGAAGCCTGGGATGCCAATATTGATGTAAGTTATATTCTCAATGCATATTCATGCGTCATGTATCTCACCAGCTACATAACCAAAAAGGAATCTGGACTTTCTGAGTACCTCAAAACAGTCATTGAGAACTCCACCAGAGACAATGTCAATGAATGTGATGAAATGAGGGAAATCATGCAAGCTTACTCTAAAAAGAGAGAGGTCAGTGCTCAGGAGTGTGTGACTCGTGCCTGTGGCATTAACATGAAGAAGTGTTCACGTGGTGTCATATTCATACCGACGGATGACAACGCACTGAAAATGAGTCGCCCCATGTCTTACCTAGAGAACACAACATCAGAAAGTGAAAATGTGTGGATGACATCTTTGACTGACAAATACAAAGCCAGACCTGAAACACCAGATTTTGAGGAGATGTGTTTGGCTGATTTTGCAGCTACTTGCAGAATTGTCTATGGACAGCAGAAAAAAGGTAAAGATGTGTTGCCACTCCTCAATGAGATGGGATTTGTGCAAAAGAGGAAAAACGATAAACCTGCTATCATCAGATTTTATTGCTGCTCACAAGAAAAATATCCTGAGAAGTTCTATGGCACATTAGTGAAACTGTACCTTCCTCACTGATCAGACCAGGAACTGAAAAGACCGTATTTCCCCACGTACGAGTCCTTCTACAACAGTTGTCTTGTTCAACTACGAGGTTCTGACCATCCTGAATATGTCAAACACATTGTGAAACGAAACAGAGACAAAAACACTGAGGAG